CTAGCACTCTTAGGGCACGGTGCAACCCATGTAAAAATTCGGTATTCATTTTGACTAAAAACACTGTGCACTGAACTGAAATTGAACCGACATTCGCACCGTGCCAATGCGTCGTTTACATTGTACTTACACATTCATTGCACTGAAATTGCTACTCGGGGTAGATAGGGACCTGTCAGTAGAGGAAATCAAAGAAATGATCAAGGCGCAGAACCCGGACCTTCAGGACAACGAAGGAGAAATTGGGCTATCACCGCTGTTCAAAAGAGGTCCAAGAGACGGACCGACAGTCTGGTGGGTCTGTGAGGTTTCACCCCAAACACTAGGAAAAATTTTAAAAATGGGGAGGGTGTACATTGGACTGGATAAATGCCGGGTTCAGGAGCATTCCGATGTCACGCAATGCTTCGCCTGCTGTAAATTCGGGCACAGACAAATAGACTGTCGCAACAATAAGGTGGTTTGTTCATATTGTGGAGAGCAAGGGCACAAGAAGGAAGTCTGTAATACGAAAAGCGACCATCCGAAATGCGCAAATTGTGGGGAAGATCATGAGGCAATGGATCGCAACTGCAGGGCAAGATTAGCAGCCATAAATAGGGTTGTTAAAAGGACGGATTATAAACAGCAGTGATGAAGAATGATTCCACAGCAGAAAATGGGGGGGGGGGGTACCAAAAAGAGGGATTACAAATTAAAGATAGCACAAATTAATATGGCAAGAACAGCAACTGCCAATGAAGATCTACTGGAGTATGCACAAGGAGAGGGTATAGACATAGCATTATTGCAGGAACCATACACCAGATACCAAAAATTGACAGGCCTGGAAGTTGCACCTTTCAGAATTATCCTGTCACCAGGAAAACAACAAGTAGGAGGATACAATATTCTACACGGAGCGGCAATCGTGATTTTCAACCCAGCAATCACAGTAGTAGCAAGAAACGACCTGACTTGTGATAATTTTGCAGTTGCAACGGTTAAAATTGGAGATGAGGCTGATATTAATCTAATCTCAGCGTACTTCAAATACAAGTCACCTATAGGACAGATGATTGAAATCCTGAGGAATATAAAACAAAAGTGTGGACCACGTACTATAATTGGAGGAGACGTAAATGCCTTCTCTGAGAAGTGGGATAGTAAAACGACAAATAATAAAGGAGAGCTGGTGGAGGACTTTATTGAAAGTGAACAATTGACCCTGATCAATCAAAAGGACCAGCCATTCACCTTCTCAGGACCCAGAGGAGAAAACAACATAGATATAACCCTGTTTACACCAGATATCTATAATGAAATATCTAACTGGAAAGTCTTAGAAGGAATAATAACAAGCGATCACAGATTGATATACTTTGAATTAGGAAAAGGAGGCACATACTCAAATCTAACGACCATGAAAAGATACACTACCAATAAGGCAGATTGGGAGGAGTTTATCAGGGAACTAACAGCACAAATATCTAATATTGACACCTGGGAGCACAATCTAGAGAACAGAACAGATTTCATTATGCAAGCATTGACCAAAGCTAGTGACAAGGCTATACCAAGGCAAAAAACAAAGAAGAAAATCGAACCACCGTGGTGGACAGACGAATTAGTAAACCAAAGGAAGAAAATGAAATCAGCATACAGGAGGATCAAAGGAGATAATCTAATCAAACAACAGATGAGGGCTGAATACAATGCAGAAAGAAATAAGTATGTCAAGATTCTAAGGCAAGAAAAGAAACAATCATGGAGACGATTCGCTGGAGATATTAATGAAAACATCTGGGGTAAATGCTTCCGATGGATAAAGAAAGGCTCCACTAACAGAGAAGCCCCTTCAGTACTGAAAAAACCAGACGGAGAATACACTAAATCCTTAAAGGAGACATTGAGGTACTTACTTGATACACTCATACCATCGGAAAACACAACAGCTGAAGAGGACGAACCGCCACTCAGAGAGTTTGCGGATTACAAAGCAACAAATAACATTGAGGTTAAGAATGCTATATGGAGAATGTCAACCAGAAAAGCACCAGGGGAAGACGGAATAAACGCCAGTATATTAAGGAAAGCGTGGCCAATACTGAACCATCATATAACCGGTCTCTTCGATGACCTACTAAAGTACGGATATTTTCCAAAAATCTGGAGAAACGCTGATGTAGTCACGATACTCAAAGGAAAGGATAAATTACGTGAGGACCCAAAATCGTTTAGACCGGTTAGTCTTCTACCAGTAATAGGCAAGGCGCTAGAACACCTGGTATGCACAAGACTGAATGAAGAAATAACAGAGAGCATGGCAGGAGGACAACACGGATTTAAAAAAGGAAGATCTACATTATCAGCCATAAAAGAGGTTGAAGAATGGGTTAAAAGCAGGAACGAAAAATATGTTATGGGAATCTTCTTAGATATAAGTGGAGCATTTGATAATGTCAAATGGGAACCCTTAATACAAGATATGCAACAATTGGGGGCATCTGAAGCAACAATAACAATCACAAAAAGCTACCTACGCAATAGAACAGCAAGGATCAGCCTAGGCAACATCAAAGTAGAGACCACACTTACCAAAGGATGTCCACAAGGGTCAGGATTTGGTCCTTCATTATGGAATATAACCGTGAACCAGGTACTAGCAGACCAAAGAGAAGACTACACACACAGAGTTGCGTATGCTGATGACATCGTGGCTCTAATAGCAGGAGAAACAAGAACGCAATTGGTTTCAAGAACGGAAGAACACATAGGGAACCTCATAACATGGGCAGAAAGATATGGCTTGAAATTCTCTATGACAAAAACCATGGGAGTGGTTCTAAAAGGACAACTGACACCTGGTTTCTACATCCAATTCGGAGAAGGACGAATAAAAACAGTAGAGAAAGTCAAATACCTGGGTATCATTATAGACCAAAAAATGAAATACAAATCCCAGGTGATGAGCATAACGGAAAAGAACACGACGGAATTCAGTAGGTTGAGAGGAATAATAGGAGCAGATTGGGGACTCAAATTTGAGACCTCACTCATACTGTACAAAACAATATACATACCAAGGATATCATATGCAGCCTGCATCTGGATGGAGGATTGGTGTACATCAACTAGAATAAAGATCATGAGAGGACAGAGAACACCACTAATAGCAGTATCAGGTGCTTATAGATCGACTTCCACAGATGCTCTGCAAGTAATCACTGGATTACTACCTTTAGATCTACAGATACTATGGGAGGGGACAAGACAAGAACACAGAATCGGCAACATATCCACTGAAGCTTTGGAGGAACTAAAGGAAACCATAATACAGAACTGGCAAGAAAGGTGGAATAATTCTAAGAAAGGAGCCTGGACAAGACGAATTTTACCAGACATAAAGCTAAGACTGGAAACGCCCCTATACCTAAACTACTACGTGACACAGTATCTATCAGGACACGGGAATTTTGCGGCAAAATTACATTCTTTGAAACTAAAAGACTCACCGGACTGCGCATGCGGAATGGGGGTTGACGATGCCGAACATTCATTATTTACCTGTCAAAGGTGGACTCAACAAAGGGAAAAATTGAAAATAGCAATAATTAATGAAGGAGAACAGTGGCCATGCGAACCCAGAACTCTTACCAAAACAAGAAGGATATTTGATGCCTTCTCGCTGTTTGCAAAAGAAACAATCTCTGAAAAAGAAGATGCTGGTCAAGGGAACAACTGAGAAAGCGAACCGAAAAGAAAGGCAACATCAACCGGTAGAGAACAATCCCTGTTGTCTGGGGACAAGAATTGCAGCAACAGTATTATCCAACTTGATCGTAAGAGGCGACTAAAAGGATAGGACTACCCGGTCCTGAAATGGGGGGTGGTGACCAACACCAACAAGGCCGATCACTAGCCGACCTGGGAAGCCAAAATAGTGAAGAGGTAGAAATACCTCGGGTTGACCCACCGCCGTCAACTAAAAACCTAGTCGGTACCACGGGTGAAGGGAGCCCCATCGTACGCCGAACCGGCATGCCGTTTCGGACACGATGCCCTTCTATGGTTGAGGTGCATGCCTCTGCTGAAACGTGGTGGTTGTGGGACAAGCGCTAAGATAGTAAAGCACTCCACCTAAGTGTGATGAGGGGTCCCTAAGGCGCAAGCCGACCCGAATCGAATAGGTACGGGTCCACGGACCCGGTGCTGGTGGCCCATATGGCGACACGGGGAAGTATTCGCTCTACCTGCTCCTCTGCGGCCCGTAACTAGCACTCAGTGCTAATACACGGTCCGTAGTACGCGCAATTAGTGTGACGTCACAAATGTTATCAATCCTTATCAATAGAGACTGCTGGATCCAAACAAACGAAAGTTTATGTATTAAAATGCACTAAATGCAGTTATAATAATTTATTTAATTATTTCGGTAGGTATTATATAGTATAGTTAATTTATTAAAAGTTATATTTGAACTCAAATCACTGTATACTGTACTATTCATTGATTGGTGAGCATATTTTATTATTTAAAATGCTTTTCTTGGTACTAAATATGAAATCTAAATATGTTGTGAACTATTGTTATACCTACTCAAATTAAATTTTTCCGGAAAAAGATATTACTTACCTGGCATGAATAATTATGCTTTTGCTTACAAATCGCACATTAAATATTTTTAAATCCACATTTTATCTTTAATTTAAATTGATAGACTGCTTTTAATTAACAAATCATAAACATATTTGATGGGTCCTATACCCATCTACTATGTTACTATGTTCATTTTGATTTATGATTGTCCAATTGGTTTTTATGATTTTAATGCAACATATTTAAAATCTATTTGTCGATCACAAATCATAATATAGTATCTAGTACTAGCTACTTAAAATATGCATGTTTTGGAAATGTAGAAATTATGGTTTTGTGCTGGGTTGTTGGATGTTGCCATTACAACGAAAAAGATTGTTGCAAATTCTATCGCTTTCCAATAAATTTGAAAGAAAAAAAAAATGGATAAAGTTGATAAGGTGCTTAAAAAACAATTGTAATATTAGTTATTTATTTTAGTAAAATCTATAAAATTAATTTACATTCTATAGAAGAACTGATGAACCTAAGACAGGAGCTCGCGTATGCAGCTGTCACTTTGTAGAGGGTAAAAAAGAAAATGGACCAACAATCCTCCCCCATCGTCCTCATCAGTTTGGTACACATCACTTGACACCTGAGAAAAAAAGATTTCGTAAAACCACACAAACTATATCACATAATATGCTAGATATTATGGCAGACAATGAAGTTTTGTGTGAGAACAGTGACAAAATTAATCCAATTGAATATGAAATTAATAATGATGTACTAGATTTATCATTGAAACCAATATTGAATTCAAGGTTTGTAGTGCACTGAGATATATATTTATATATTATATATTATAAAATATAAATATATATATATTTAATTATCTAATTTAGTCCAATTTGAAATTAAAATATCTTGGCATAAAAATAAACTGTTTATTTATTTCCTTATTTTTTTTTTAATGTGTTTTACAGTTTAAAGTTGAACGATAATAATAATGCTTCAAATGGTTCAATAGTTTCAGAAGTTCAAAATTATTTTCTCCAAAAAGAAAATGAAGCAATGAAAATTGAATTAAAACATTTAGGAATAAAATTTAACTATGCAAATTTAAATCAAAATGATGAACTGTTAAATTCTTACACTGGTTTACCTTCAAACTCAGTGTTTCAAGCGCTTTATAATTTAGTAAAACCATTGAATATTGAATATCATTTAACGTGGTCTGTGGAAAGCATCAATAAAGAAGATCAAATACTCATAACCTTAATGAAGTTGAGGCATAATTTTCCACATTTTGATCTAGCAGTCAGATTTAACTGTAGTAGTGCTACTATCACAAATATTGTTATAACGTGGATTAATATTTTACATCAAGTATTGTTCAAAAAATGCATGAGTAAAATACCATTTAGAGAAAAAAATAAATTGTGTATGCCCAATGCATTCAAACCATTTTTAAATTGCCGAATTGTTATTGATTGCACTGAGATTTTTACTGCTGTTTCTCGCCAATCTATGAATATCCAAAAAGACACATACAGCAATTATAAACACAGGAATACTTGGAAAGCTTTGATTGGAATCGCTCCAAACGGTGTAGTTACATTTGTGAGTAAATTATTCCCTGGGTCAACTTCTGATAAAGTGATAACTTTAAAAAGTGGACTTTTGGAACAGCTAGTTCCAGGTGATCTAATTCTAGCAGATAAAGGGTTTCTAATTAGAGATATATTACCACCAGGAGTATCATTGAATATCCCTCCATTTTTAGACACTCCACAATTTACTCCTGATCAAGTAGTACAGACTGAAACAATAGCAAAAGCTAGGATACATATTGAAAGAGCAATTCAAAGAATTAAATGCTACTCAATACTAGATGTTATTCCTTTTTCGATGCTTAAACAAGCAGAAAGTATTTTTCAAGTGGTTGCGGCGTTAACAAATTTGCAGCCTCCACTTATTAAAGAAATTCAAAACCACATGTGACAGTTTTAATATTATAATTACCTTAATTAATTAACACTTATAGTTTTGGCTATACTTTTAAATAAAAAAAAAAATATTAATATAATAATACACTTGCTACTTATGATGAATTAATTGCATTTACCTTTATAATAAACATAGAATTATAATATTTACCATCATTAAATAAATTATTTATAAATTATTTTCTATTAAATATGGTATATACTTTTGTATAAAAAATGATTCTAAAATTCCTAAATTGCTTTCCCACTCATCATCTTTTTGAACTTCTGTTATTATTGATTGCATTGGGGTCCAAATAACTAAGTAACATAACTTGCGGTTTGTCAAATAAAGTTGGCCCTGTATCTGATCCCAATAAGGATGTTGTTTGTTTACTAATATGTGATCATTTTCTTTGTATATAATATAACTGTGGTCGTTTTCAATTTCAGTTGACAAAACTTTGTTCCTAAACTTCCATGGGCATTTAACTTCAACAATATGATTCGTCCCAACTAAACCATCAGGTGAAGCTCCAAGGAAGCCATTATTAGACAACCACAACCCAGTAGGAATAACAGAAACTGTTTCTTCTTGTTCAAGAATGTTAATACCACAACTTTCATTTGTAATGCCCCATTGTATTGCATGCACACCATTTAGATTTGTATCATTGTTTAAAGACTTGTACAAAGAGTTTGGAAATTTATTTCTTTTACAGCAGGCAAGTACTTTTCCAAAATGGCTAGCAGTAAGTCTATTTTTTCTGTATGTGAACCATAAATTATTTTTATGTTGGCCGACTGTATCATTTACAATTTGTAGAACTAAAGCGTCAGTTATAGAACATTTTGTAAGGAAATATGTTTTAAATTTACAAAAATCCTTACTTTTAACTAAATCTTTACACTGCTTATTTAATAGAATACTACGAATAGCTTCAATTAATACAGTTGGAAGTTTCACTGGATCAGGTTCTGGTTTAAATAACCATGAAAACCCAGTTGGAAATGATAGATTTGTTAATGTTTGTTGGAAGCAACTAATATCTTTTTCAGACACATTAACATCAGGACACTCAAACTTACCGTAAATATCACTTATGGTTTTAATATCCTCTGTTGAACTACTTTTCCTAAAACTCCATGAACAAGCAGTGTCTGTGGAACTTATATTATAATGAGTATGTAAAGCTAATGTGGCAATATGATGACAGACAATTCCACGGGGACAAGAACACTGTGCATCTGATAGACATCCGTCTTTAAGATAAAGTTGGACTTTATATGAACTATTTTTCATACTAGGCTTAATCTCACCTGTAATAATCTGTAAATTCATATCTGCTTGGAACTTCAGAACATGATTATCTTTATATGCAACTTCGCCTCTTTTTAGTTGCTTTATACTGTCTTTAAAAAACTCAGATATAGAACTTATTGACAACAAATGATTTCCAGCCATGGTATTAAGTAATAAAAGTATTAAACATCAAAATTTACTTATGAGTGTTTAAAAAAACTTAATTGTCTTGTACACCTAATCAGTATAAAATATTGTTTGGATCCAGTAATTATCACTGATAAGGTTTGATAACCAGTATGACGTAGACACTAATCACGCGTATGACACTATAAACCATAGACCTATTAACTANTATTATGAAAACAATTCTGTCACCAACATAATAATTATTGTTTTCGTACCGATTATTTATAAACGGCAAGCGGGCCGGTCGCGATAAGAACTATGGTGCGGTATGGCTACAGTCGAGCGCGGGGTAGTGGTATGAACACTATTTTTGAACGCTGCCGCTATAGTCAGTTCAGCAGCACACGACGGCTGTTAAATCGTGTTTTTCTTACCGAAAACATGGTTTCGTACTTCAAGTTTTCCTCAGCCCTCATTGGTCGTAGAAACATGATTTTTTCACCAAAATAAACGTGAGAAGTTCCTTTAGATTTTGTCGTGCCAGATTTTTGATATCTATTTTTGTCTATTTTATATAATTTTTTAAAAATTGTGAAAATTTTGAAATTTTCAAATGCAAATATAATCGGTTTGAAAAAAAAATTCGAAAATCTGGCACGACAAAATCTAGAGGAACTTCTCACGTTTATTTTGGTGAAAAAATCATGTTTCTACGACTATCGAGAGCTGAGGAAAACTTGAAGTACGAAACCATGTTTTTACGGCCGAATTTCGGTACCATAACGCCCTCTTAAGCATTACCCGGAATGATAACCAACGACCACAGGGTCCGTGGGAACGACACGTGTATCGAGAGGGCTGGGAGAAGTAGAGAGTAGGCTTATATAGGATATTCCTTATATTATATTATTTATGTTTCCGAAAATCGTTTATTGAGGATTTTTTTTTGTACACACATCTACACAGACACATATATATTATAAATTCTAACCGACGCCTTTTTCGTCGTTCAACTATTCACCCTCGGTGTCTAGACACCCTGATATTTTAACGATTATACGTCCAAATCAAATAAATAACAACCAAAAAAAAAACACTGACAGTTTTGTTCAATGTATATTATAAACACACACACACACGCACACACACACACACACACACACACACACACACACACGCACACACACACACGTGTACAACAAGCAATATGGTTGAATATTTGTGTTTCCAAGAATCGTGTATAAAGATTTTTTTTTCGATAGGTTCGTTTTATTTATACACACAGACATATATATATATATTATAAATTTTAACCGGCGCCTTTTTTTTTGTCGGTTTACCTATTCACCCTCGGTGTCTAGACACCCTAATATTTTAACAATTATCTGTTCAAATCAAATAAATAACAATCCAAAAAAAAAACAACACTGACAGTTTTGTTCAGTATATTATATCGTAAAAACACGCGCAACAAGCGATATGGTTTAATATTCCGAGAATCGTGTATAAAGATTTTTTTTCGATAGGTTCGTTTTGAGGCCGTGCACACACGGCACACAGACATATATCTAACCGACCCTTTTTGTTTGTCTTTCATACACCCTCTTATACAAAAACCTTATAGACTTGTTTTTATTTTAACGATCACTTGTTCGGATAAAATAAACAACGACACCGCCCGAAAATCACTACCATCACCGCTCCCCTATTCTTAACGATTCAATAAACCACACGAAATAATACGTCGTCGACACGGTGATATTTTTTTTGTTTTACAACATGTTGTAAAAATATTTTTGTTTTTCTCGGCCCGCACTTTACCACTGGTAATATTGTGTCGTAATATGCATTGTACTACTGCGTCACGTAATATTTACGTAATATAGTGCGTGTTCTAATACATAATTAGAGGAACAAAACGGACTAAATTAGAAAAGATATGGTCGCGATGAGTTATGAGTATCGTTATTATTCGTATACGGTTTTGACTCTAATGTTTATATTAGCAATTATCGCGACTTCTCCACGAAACGTCACTGGTGAAGTCACCATAGAAGTACCGACACTTGTAGATGTCGTAAAAATTTTAACCGGCGGAGTTCGGAATTTAGGAAAAGACGTAACGATCACCGTAGGATCTTTGAGCGGAAACGCTCGAGACGTAATCGGTAACACTTCGAATAATATAAGTGATATTATAAGATCAATTATGAACAGTATAGTTAGCGTGTTGACCAACGGTCATCCCGAATTCGCAGTGCTTAATCCCAGAATTCATAACAACGATACTCTCGGTATGACAAAAGTATTGGAGAATCAAAACGGTAGCACAATGACCGCCATCAAAATTCAGTAATCGAAACATTTAATATCTTTGCGGAGTTACCCCGAGAAACGCGTGATAGATCGGATTTTTGAATATTTTTTAAAAAAAAATCGTTAACGTTGTGAAAGAATTCGTAACAATAATAATTGAAATATACAGATTAAATTATTTTTAGATGTTTGTCTACTTTATTTCAGCTGATATATTACTATTGTAAAGGTCATCGAATAGTCGTAATTTTTTACCAATAAATCAAAAAAAAAAAATAATAATTATATTAATAGTACTAGTATGATGGTGGCGGTAGTGGTAGTAATAATAGTTACCGCAAAACCTCAGTACCGTTAATATATATATATTTGTTATGTTCGTTGTGTACAGTGAAAAATGTGGTTTAAAGAATATTTTTTGCGGTCGTTGTTTGTACGGTGACGGCGCTCATTGGAAAAGTCGCATCGTACTTTTTTTGCCGCCCGTAATATCTAACGATAGTCGCGCGCGCCGTCGCCGTATCATTAGCCCGCCATACACGATAGGATATTTTGACGGATTTGGTCCTCGAAAGATCAAGTCCGCTGGTAAATCCACTCATGTGTGGTTATCACCGGATAGAATCCGTTTAGCATAAAAAATCCGACGGAATAAGTCCTACGGATCAAATCTTTGAACAGCCACTAATGACAAGGACCGGGTCCTGCAGAATAAATATTGATAATGAATTCTCACGTTATCACCTATTTTTCTTATCAATAATATTATCAA